CCCTTATTGGTGGTGTTTCAGTTGGAACATAAAGCCCACATCCCTAGGGTTAGTTCGATATTGCGGACGACACAATAGGACATAAGCCGAGCAAAAACCTAAAGGAGTTCGGCATCAGCTACACCAGCAACACCCTGTACTAGTTTAGCACCTTAGCGAACCCCTCGCTCAACGGGAACCCCAACCCAGCCTTCAAGCTATGCTCATAAACACATAGTTCACCGGGCTAAGCATTAGTGGCCATCTCCCTGGGTAACGGACAACGTAGCTCGGATCCGAGCCATACCCCAGGCATCAAGATGTCGGGCGTGGTACCGAACCGACAACCTGTCTAGAGAGGAAGCTCTGTCTCCATCCCAGAGGGACCAGCCTCGGCTTCCTCAATTTCGGCAGCCACGAAGTCTCTCAGCTCAGGCTCGTAGGTCAAGCCGTGAGAAGAGCTAGAACTAGAACTACTGGAGGACCCGGATGAAGAAGAGGACCGGCAAGATGAAGAGGATATAACAGACAATTTGTGGAGCTGAAGAACGAATGCTATTGAGCTATCTACCGAGCTATCCGCCGAGTTGTCTACCAAGCTATCTGCTAAACTGTGTGACCGATGAATCTGCCAAGCAATGGATGCCGAACACCCTTGCAAGCAATACTAAGGATAGGGAGAGGGCCCCCCCCTTCCCTTTTAAAACTATCAGGGGCACAGACCAAGGAGAGATCAACGGTGCAGATGAAGAACCCCTGACAACGCCTTAGAAGGCCAACCGATGCGACCAATAATGTACGACAGGAAGCCTCGAAAATTGAAATGGCACCCTCAGCAGGCAGCGGTTGCGCCCATTAATTGCACCAGTTCAACTACTGTACCGGTCCAACCTTCGACGCGAAGACCCGCCATACCGGTCCATTCTTCGACAAGGATCCTCAGCTAGGCCACTCAAATCCTCGGACTAGGCAGCTTATGGCCACAAGGTTGCACAGTAGTCTGGTCGAGCACTCCCCCTCCTCGACAACGGAACTAGGGGAGTGGATCGGGAACCAAAATTTTAGTTCTTATTTAAGTTCTACAGTTGACGATTGGAGGACTCCTAGGCAACGACCAACATGGCATGAATGATATGCATGCTCAGAAGTTCCTCAATCAGGCAACAAACCTAGGAAACCTTGTCCCTCAGCTTCAGAACTGGGGGAGTGGTGTTGGGGACATGAATAAGCTGGACATGAGACCCCTGGACATTTGTCACAGCTTAGCCACATCGGCACAGTCTAGTCGGGCTACTGCATTGCCATTATCCTGCCAACCATGTCAGCTACGCCCCACGGATAAGCCCACCTAACGGATAGGGATGGGAAGACAACTCCGCCGAGGAGTAGGACTCTACCCTCTATAACCTCGGCAGGGAACTCTGCCCCGATTTCCCTGGAAACCTACTCCGATCAGGATACAAACCCTCTTGCTATAAAAAGGTACTACATGCTCGAGGTAAGGGACTTTTGACTTCGAAAACCCACATTGCTAATTACCTCGGACCAGCATCCCTTTAGCTCAGCCCGGTCATCCACCACCTCCTACTAACTTGAGCGTTGGAGTGCTTACTCGAGAGTAATTCCTCAGGCCTCTGACTTCTTCCTTGATTGCAGATCTTGAAGCGCGCGCGGCCTTGTCCTTGAAGCTCGGGCCTGACCTGCCAGCAAGGACTATTTGATTGCCATCCTTGATTCGTGCACTACCTCGGATTGAGCAGCACCAGCAAACATTTTCACAAAGGCATTACCGCGTTCAAAGTTTGAGTTGTTACAGGAGCAACTAGGAGTTACAAGAAAGTGCATTAAGGAGGAGTGTTAAAAAATAATCCACTTTCCAAAAGTTTTCTAGAAGTTTCCTAGAAGTTCAAACTTCTAGAATTAATTAGCACTCTAGAAATTAAATCTCTAAGTCTCTAGAAAAAAGTAATACACTTTCTAGAGGTTCTAACTTCTAGAATGTATCTGGGTCTAGAAGATGATGATTTCTAGAAAAGGTAAAATTGTAGAGAGAGATGTCTAGAATGTTGGTTGACTTTGCTCCACCTACTTGGCTCTATTATAAATAGGGCTAAGCTTGTACATTTGAGAACAACCTAATACAAGTTGCCATTTTCCCAACAACTCGAGCCTTTATCATTTGCTACCATCCTATCTTACCTAGTCTACTCTCTCTCACAGCCCAAGTCCTAACAACTCTACTCTCCTCCATATCCCAACATTTCTCTATACTTGAAGCAAATACGAGGAGCGACAAGCCCTTGCAAAGGAGGAAGTTGAATGTGTGTTGCTTCAAAACCACCCCATCTTCACCACCGGCAACTCTAGCGTCACCAGCTCGTCTACATCTCCAATGCCTCCTACCAATTTCATTTCCTGAGACAGAGCTTCTTGCCTTTACTTCTATAACTTTGACAAGCAATGCCTCCATCGTCTCTCTGTTCGTTTGAACTGTAGACTGAGGAATCATGACCAAGTTTTTCTTGTAAGTTCAAATACATTGACTTTGACAAACACAGGGTGGAGGTATTGACCACTAGTGTTGTTGTGCATGAGTTGGAGTTGAGGTTAACGACCATTGCTTTGGTCAACAGCAACGAAAATGATGTCTATAGAGGGGGTTATCACCGCCACTGGGTTTGCCGCTGTTGAAAGGAAGAAGACAGTGAAAGAGGAGAAGAAGAAGAAGAAGAAGAAGAAGAAGAAGAAGAAGAAGAAGGGTAAAATTGGATTTAAAAAAATTTGTACATCACATGGTGTCATGTGTGTATGGCTTTTGACGGAATATTAACAGATGATAACGATAAGGGTAGAGCTAATCAATTGTGAAAAATAGTAGGGATACTTTAAGACAATAGTCAAATAGTAGGGGTAGAACTAGTCAATTAGCTAAACCTTAGGGGTACTTTAAAGAAATTTGTCCAAAAGTTATTTACCCACATGGGTACCCAAGTAAGTGATATCCAAATAAAATAAATTTTCCATGAGCCTCACATAAATCTGAAAAAAGAACATGGATATCTTGGTCAATGGGAACCAAAATCCCATTGACCAACTTCCCCCCTTTCAAAATCCGAAAAAAGAAGAATGGACCCTAAGGCTCCGTTCACTTTTTGGTATGTAACTTACCGATTAAGTGCATTTACCCATGTTCTTTTATCTTCAAGGTAAATAAATCAATGACAATTTTAGCCATAAAAATCCATTATTAAGAGGGGCATTTTTGTCCCATCCAAGTGTTGGCAACTTTCCCTTGGGTGAAAAAGTTGCTTACTCACCTAGGAGTGAAACCTAGGAAAACAAACTTTCCATGACCCCACATAAATCTAAAAAAAGAGCATGGGTATCTTGGTCAATGGGATTGTGAATCCCATTTACTAACTTTCCCCCTCTCGATATCCAAAAAATGAATGCTCTTTAGGAAAAATCTCCAATCAAAATGATTTATTATTTTACTTAAGATAATTAGGAACTAGAGAACTCAAATGTCCATATTAAGATGATGCTAAATTGAATTGATTTCCCATGTCGGCCAAGATTTCATTTATCGAATTGATTTTGTTTTGGAAGTCATTTATCCAATTGATTTCTCAATAACTTATTTGTCTTGATTGCGTTTATTAAATAAATGTTTGTACTTGATTTGTCTTCAAAACTAAGAAAAAATATTTGATAAACTGTCTATTGACAACTAGACGCCATTAGGCACTACACTAGTGGAATAGTGAATAAATGCTTAACCATTGGGGGAAGCGTTAACACACACTTAAAATCAAGACCAACTTTTATCAATACCTATGCATACAACACTAGGCACCACATCAGTGGAATAATGAATAAATGCTTAACCATTGGGGGAAGCGTTGACACACTTAAAATCAAGACCAACTTTTATCAATACCTATGCGTACGAATTGACATGATGGGATAAATGCTGATTTGACAATGATATGACGTCGCTTATCAAACAAACAGAAGCCATACCAAACACCGCCTAACAAATTCAACCCAACAACCCTAGCTATTAAAGAAACAACTTTGCCACGTGGCAAAAGAAAAAGTTGGCTGAAGTGGACTGGGAGTGATATTAAAACTTAACTCTCAATCTCGATGATCCATTTGGTCTATTTTATTTTTCAACATTAAAAGTAAAAAATATTTCAATGAGAGTTGCTTTTGAAAAAGATGGGCCGTGGGCCCACAGCCCACGTATGTACGTCAAAGCTCAATCCAGTAAAACCACCGCAAGTAAGCGTGTGTGAAACCTGAAACCCAATGAGAACGGAGTCTAGAGTCATAATTGTGGGGCACCGCTGGGTAAACCCGTTTCTGACCGTATCGCAACTCATTCTCTGAAATCACTGTGTGAGCATGTTGCACAGCCCACGTGATATATCAGAACCTCTCGTATCACGGTATCAGAGCTCATTCTCTGAAAATGTCGTTTAAAATTTGGACGCAATAAAAACTGGACAGCTCATAAAAAACTTGATTAATCTGTTTCAGTAGAGAAAATTGTTAGCTGACACGTGGCTAACAAAAGGAGCGGATTCCCCTGAAAATTGTTAGCTAACACGTCACGTAACGTAAGCATCATTTGGCCACGTCGGATAACAGATTTGGCCACCCCAAAATGATGTATGTGACACGTGGCTAACAGAAGGAGAGAAGGAACGGTGTTTTGTGCGAGATGTCGATTGTGGATTTGTGTCGAGTGTCCACCACCGTCCACCGGACCACCGGCAAGCGGCAACGCAAAAAGAGAAGTTTTCAAATTCGAAATCAGTCCTTCTCAGAATTTTTATTAACTTAAAAAGGCCTTTTTCAGTTTTCAACTTTTCATCCAGTTCACAGCAGACTGTTGCCTTATCATGGCACCTGGCAGTAGCCCCAGTTTATCCAGAACTCTACGAACCCTATCCACTCCACATTTTGTAGTTTCACATTTTCACTTCGAAAAGCAGTTCAGACAAAACAAAAATACATAGAAAAATCGGAACTGTTTATGCTACTGTAGCTGCATTCGTTGGCTTGTCCGAGCCGCTCTCTCTAAACACCGACATTTTTAACGTTCTGTTTGAGCTTCTATGAGCTAGAGCGGTGAGGACGAAATTAGCCCTGTACCTTTGTGGAAATCTCTAGCCTTTCCTGTGTACAGATTCTCTCAACCGTCAAAGGTCCCTTGGTTGTGTCGCTGACCGACTTCTTCCGATCTTCATATCTCTGTTTCCACCTCTTGAGATCTTTTCTTTATATATCAATTAAATATTTGGAATCAGTTTCTTGGGTTTTTTTTTTTTCAGATTTTGCTTTCGGTGACGGGAGGATTGGTTTTAGTTTGATTTGAAGAGAGAGAGAGAGAGAGAGAGAAGGAGAAAGAGATAAGAGATATGGAGCTGCTTGAAGGAGTTGGAGAGAGCTCTTCTCCTCAGCGTAGCTTTGGGGGGTTTAGTGGGTATGATATAAGGACGGATGTGTTTAATCGGTTGATGGAGTGTGGGAATGAGGAAGCAACGTGTAATCCCGAGCTCCGCGAGCAGCTGGATGCTCATTTTAATCGCTTGCCTGCTAGGTATTGGCTGTTTGTCATATTTGAGTTTTAGATTGAATTATATTTGTCTTCTTTTACCATCTTGGCCATGGTTTGGCTTTAAATTTTGCAGCTTTGATTGGAATTTGGTGGAAACTTGATTTTGTTGCTTGTGTTGGAACTGTTTCTGGTGATGACATGGATAAGTTTTCATATGGAAAAGCTGGGCAATGTGTTGAGTGTTTATTGTATGGAGTGATATACTCATTTGGAAGGGAGAAGTGTGGAATTTTAGCTTCAGTGTGCTTTTCTTGATCTAAACTGGTTTTGGGTTGTTATTTGTTAGGCTCGTCAGTGGAATTTCTGTTTTTCTCATTGTATATTGATGTTCCTGTTGTATTTTTCATTTTTCTTCTTGCTGGTTCCATGGATTGTTGTTGGGTTGTACTCTTCGACCTTTGCTGCCAAAACTTATTGTGTTGCTTGTTCTGTGTTTTAGTTATGCGCTAGATGTTAATATGGATAGAGTGGAAGATGTCTTGATACATCAAAAGCTTCTAGCTCAGGCAAAGGACCCAGAAAGGCAACCTGTCTTCCATGTCCGTTTCTTGGAGGTACTGCTTCTCATTAGTTCAATTATCTGATAGCCAAAGATCTGCACCCAGTCTGAATTAAGCACGGGTGGTGGGTGGTTGGACTTACATGTTCTGGTTTGTTGAAAGTTGAAAGTTTAGTGCTTATCAATTAAAGCTGCATTTAGTTGTAGATTTCATTTCTTAAAGAATGTGACAAGACTGTTTTCCCACGTCCATTTGGTCCCTAGTTGTAGATTTTGTTAGATAATGGGAAATCCATAAGGACATTATCCAGGTTGAGCATCCAGATAAGTGTTTTTATGATATCTCTACACCATCATTTTGATTGTAGAGAAACGGGAATGCTCAAGAATGGCTAGGTTCTTCAGGATGGGTCTTTCCTGACCACATAGGATGACCTTATTTTAGAAATTCAACCTAAAAAGATCATCTCAAATTTAGGAACGTTGGAAATGGAAACAAAAGAATTTGATCAAATAGTTAAAGAGTTTACTGAGTAAAATTGATTATATTGCTATAATAATGCTAATTAAACATGAAGAATTTCTTTTCTCGTATGTCTAGCATTGCAGGTTGCATCATGCATGTTATGCATATCAGCCATTTCTTAGGACACGTTCAATTTTCATCTTCAAGTATCCTTGCAAAAGAAACCTTCAATATATTACAGTCTTGTATATACTTTTGTCATCTGGAATTTACGTAACAAATATATGCCTTTCTATGCTAACATCTAGTTAGCATTGTAACAAATATGTTGTTAGATTTATTTACTTGTTGACATGGTTGGGACAAGGCTTAGATGGTGATAATGATGATAATAATTTGATTGTTGACATGTTGCCTCCAACCTCACTAAGTTTGATGCTTGTATGGAACTCAAGGTCAGGCGGCTACATAGGCATGATTCTGAGACCATCTTGTTGTTTGAATTGCAATCCTTGCAGGAGCTTAAAATATGCTCTAATTGTGATTATTCCAAAAATAGAAGGAACAAATAGGGAAGAAAGAAGAAAGATGAAGGAATGGAAGGATAGGGGGCGGGGATCATCATTCTTAGCCTGGATAGGAAATTTCCAGGCTTGGGTCTAGTTTTTTTTTTTGTCCAGGTCCAGCTTGGGTTGCAATCTATATATATATAAAGATTAAGCAATGGGGATTCTATCTTTTGCTTGAACACATTGGTTTTATGGTGTTTAGGGCCCGAGAGCATCATTTAGGTTCTGTATGTATATTGGCTCTTGATTAATCGGTTTTAACTCACCTGACTGCATTTAAATTAAAGTTTGTAAAGATCCAAAAAATAACTATATTTTTTCACTGTCCTTTCAAGTACTTCACAAGACAAAATTCTAAAATAAATATGCAGTAAATGTCAGAAATAAATAATTCCACCAAAGAAAAGAAAAATAGTTTTATAAGTTAGAGAAAGAAAGGCACTGTTTACTATGAAAAAAGGCATAAGAATATTTATCAGCAAAAGAGAAGGAATGAAGGATAAGGAGCAACTTCATTATTAGGAAATGAACCAAATACGGAGGATGTTCTAGGGATCTCATTATTTTCAGACCATGAAAGAGAGTCTGTATTTCTGCTGTCTAGGAGTTTCGAATTCCATTTGGTCCTGTGGCTCATAAGAATGTTATGACTGTGATCTCTAACTGCACCCCCAATTCTTGAGCGTGCTGGGTTTCCAAGGCTGCACCCATCAAAGTTTAATTTGAGTCTGTCCATTTGTGGAGCTTGCCATAGTACTACAGTTTTGTCTATGGGCATAACTTGCCACTGAAGCCCATCTCCTTAGAATATGATCTATTAATAAGCCTTTGAAATCTTTTCTTGTCAACACCTGATGAGCTGTCTTTACCATACAATTCTCTATTATGGTTCCCATCCCCATGGTTTTTCTTGTTTTGTATGTGTATCTTCTGTCTCAGATGCTTGCACAATAATATTCTCTTTAGATGTTCATGACAGTAGTCAATTTACTGGATTTCTGCAAAGTCTCGTTATGAAAGACAAACCTTTTACAAAGTTTCATAAGTTTCATGGTTGGCCTTTAATGATTTCTTTGTTTGAGTTTTTTGTTTTTGCTTTTGCTTTTGTTTTTACTTCTATGCTTCATCTTGTCTGGTTTACAGTTTCAGTTGGTGTTCTTTTAGTTATATTATTGGCAGCTCTTTGTTTCTAACACTTTGTCTTTTCCGTATAATGCTGCCTATGATATGGTTTGCATATGTCAAATTTTTCATTTTTTAGTTGGTAACTGAAGAGTGAAGACTTTATTAAAATAACAAAATGAATGTTGTCTACAGCATGCCTTGCACCCCACAAAATAGGCTGGAACCTGACCTAACCCTTTTGCTGTATGTAAATTACAATGAAGCCCAGAAGAGTTCCTTACTAATTCAAATTTGTCATTTCATGTATCTGTGTTTGATAACTTGCTATTTTTTTTAGTATAGCTCTATTTATATGAAAACCACCTACCACCACCACCACTACCACAAACATCTCACTCCCTAGTTAGAATCTTCCTCCTATAGGAGTGCTTCCTTGGATCTTTTTTGTCTATCTTAAGTACATTTTTGAATTGTTTTGCTAGCCTTTGCTATATGATTTCTTATTGATGTTTTTCTTTTTAAATGCTTGGAAGAATCTAAGGACTAGAGGAGTTGAGATTGATGATCTAGAACCATCTCTAAGAGTTGATTCAAAGGCACCTTGTAATGCAAAACCTAAAGAAGATAAGCCATCACATGACAAGTATGTTACCTATGAAAAATCTTCATCTATTTAACTTATATTGTGGTCCTTTCTATGTCATATGCAGAAAACAGTTCACTGATAAAAAAGCAGGATAGAGTTTTTTAGGTCTTGCTGCATCTCTTAATAATGGAATTTCCAGAATGTATTTGATTTAAGTGTCCACTTATTAATCTCTTCTCTTTTTCTTTTTATCTTTATTTTTGTTAGTGGCACTTCTATAAGCAGGAATAAGAATTGTCAGGTTGAATTTGAACCTTGGTCAAAGCTTGAGGACTTAAATTTGGATGTTAAAAACCATGTCGGGAACACGGAAAACTTTTCTGGAAGGTATTCCTTTTAGTGGTTGTTGTGAACTGTTGATTCTAATTGATAGCAGTTTCTTTCTTTTCTTTTCGTTTCTTTTTTTTTTTTTTTTGGTGGGGGGAGGGGGAGTAGGGATGAACAGAAAAAAAGTCCATCTAATTGAGCTGATTATTTGAGTTCATTTTGAACAGGATTCTTCTAAGACTTGAGTGGGTGAGGATTTGTAGGGATACTTTTTCAGTAACATCATATGAGTGCCCTGGTGTTCCTTCTTGCTTGGTCTTTGGTGTGTGTGTGTGTGTTTTGTGGGCATTGGGGGGAGTAGGGATAAACAGGAAAAAAGTCCATCTCATTGAGCTGATTATTTGAGTTCATTTTGAACAGAATTCTTCTAAGACTTGTGTGGGTGAGAATTTGTAGGGATGCTCTTGCAGTAAGATCATATGAGTGTCCTGGTGTTCCTTCTTGCTTGGTTTTTGTTGTGGGGTTATTTATGTTCTTCCATGCTTCTGGGATGAGGTTCCAAGTTTTTGGCTACTGCAATAGGCCTAGAAGGGAATGGTTATAATTGTTTGGTTTTGACATTTAAATCTACATAAATTATGATTCTGCTGAAATGATCAGAACATTATGCAGAACTGAAGTTCTATATTAATAATAAAGATGCTTTTTACATAATACAGTTTTTTAACATGAAGCATATAAGTTCTAGTTTCAAAATATTATGGTGCAGGCCAGAATTTACACATGTTCCAATACATGAAGTTATATTCTCAACTGTTGACAAGCCGAAGCTTCTTAGCCAGGTATTTTGTAGAACATATATGACACCTATTCTTTGTTGTTTTGTGAAGAAAACTAATTCAATGTAAATATATTTAATTACTTCATTTTCATATGTTTTGAGATATTTATTTGGTTGCCGTCATTTTCTTGAAAGAATACAACCTCTTACCAACAAAATAGAATTGTTTTAGTTGTATGTCAAGGAAAGCTCTGGAGGAACATTCTTCCTATTCTGTTGACTATTCTGGTCTCATACTTTCTAAAACTTCTTGAAAGAATACAACCTCTTACCAACAAAATAGAATTGTTTTAGTTGTATGTCAAGGAAAGCTCTGGAGGAACATTCTTCCTATTCTGTTGACTATTCTGGTCTCATACTTTCTAAAACTTCTTTTTGCAATTCAATGTAAATTATTCCCTTCGATAAAGTGTTGTGTTGAGTTATTGGGCCGACTTTATTTATTTTTATTTACATAACTTAGGAAGTTATTGGGCCGACTTTATTTATTTTTATTTACATAACTTAGGAAGTTATTGGGCCTTAGGCCCATTGGTTTATGTTAAGTGTGTTTTCTAGCTTCTTACAAGTAGCCGACTTACTAAGGGCATACTTGTACTTGTACACTCTTTTTATGAGTATATAAATTAAAAGGAAAGGGGCGGTCAGATCTGATTTTTTGGCTTCCTCTCATTCTCTTCTATTTCTCCTTTTTTTTTTTCTTTTCTAGCAGAAACTTTTCCCTTCTTTTTTCTTTTTCACAAAGTTTATATCGAAACAGCTATCAAAACTTTTCTACTTGGTATTAGAGCAAGTTTAAAGACTTCTTGATCTGCTCCATCATGCAACCCTAGATCGGTCGATTGCATGATGAGGTGAAGGGATGATTGAAGACCTCAGGTAAGTCTAATTTTTGGATTTTTTGGTGGAATTACAATCCCTTGTAGCTGGTCTAAGGTTTTACACCAAAATCAGGAAGAACTAGAGAAAGGGGATAGTCATGTTTTAGTAGGGCTCTTCAATTTTGATGTAGGAAGTGGCACCCTAGTTTTCTAGGGTTCCTTTAAGATTTTTGTAGGGGGCGGTTCAAGTCCCACCTTTTTTGTAGGCCTCTGGAGGGAGCGGTAGCCTCTTTTCCTGCTCCTATGGAAAAAAGGAATCTTCGAAGGGAGGAGCTTCTAGGGTACTAGAAGGGTGTTTGAGGTGTCTGAAGGAAGTAAATACCTCTTTTTTCATCTCAAGTTGATTTCCCGACCCTTTTTGGGAGTTATGGAGGGCTGTGGAGTTGAAAACAAACTGGGAAGTGAGATGGGACAAGGGAGAGGAGGTGCTGGAGACCTCTTTGGGGCTGGAACCATCACTCTAAGTTAGATGGTACAAACTACTTAGAGTGGTCACAATCCACAAAGATGGCCATTGGTGCTTGTGGGAAATTGGGGTATGTCACCGGTGAGGAAAACAAACCCGAAACTAACTACTCCCGATGGGTATAGAACTATATGATAATGACTTGGCTGTTTAATTCCATGTTGCCCCATATAAGTAAAAATTTTCTATGGGCTAACACAACTAAGGAGATTTGGGATGGAGTTGCAGAAACCTATTCACGGAATGAGAATGTTGCTAGAGCCTATTGGTTGAGAAACCGGGTAATTGCTACCAAATAGGGAGATAAATCTGTTGCTATTTATTGCTATGGCAAGAGATAGATTATTTGGAGACTGTGGTTTGGGAAATAGCAAGGATGCAACAACTTATTAGAAATTGGTAGAGAAGAATATGGTTTTTGAGTTTCTAGCTGGTCTTAACCCCGAGTATGACATTGCACGACAACATATTCTTTCCAGCGATAATGTAACTCAGGCATATGCCTTTGTGTTAGGAGAGGAGAATAGGAGGAATGTGATGATAAAGAACCTGGGTCTCGAGCAGTTAGCTATGGTTAGCACAGTGATACCTAAGCAGAGTGGAGACAAGGGTGGAAATGAACTTAGGAAGGGAGATAAGAAGGATTTGAACCGTGACTACTGTAAGAAGCCGAAACATACCAGAGATACTTGCTGGAAGCTTTACCCTCACCTTGTGCCGAGTCGACTCAGAAACAAGAGGGGAAATGTGAATATGGCAGTGACTGGTGGCTTATCAGGACCATCCACTACAACTTTCCTAGAGTTTGTTGCAACAACTGCAGTAAGGGCCGAATTGGAGAGATATGGGCAGTTACTAAATCAGAGAGATACAGTCAGTCCTAACACATTATCAAGTGGATAGCAAGGTACAGGTGGATCAGGAGGTATCCATTCTACTTCTTTTGCACATACAGGTAGTTCACATGCCATTGCAAACTATGTTTCCATTACATGTAAGGAGGGACCCCCTTGGGTTATAGATTCTGGAGCCTCAGAGCATATGACCAACATTTTCACCATTTTCTCCTCATACCACCTCAGCTTTGGCAAAGATAGAGTTTCCACAGCTGATGGATCACATGTTCCCATTGCCAAGAAAGGGTCTGTCAAGATAACCAATACCATTTCCCTACCCTCTGTCCTCCATGCTCCTAGACTGAGTACCAAGGTTTAGAATGTCGATGTTGGTGGAAATGTCGGTTATCCTAATATAAGAAACATGTTGGAAATGTCAGAAATATCGTATGGAAATATTGTAAAAATTATAGACATGGTGGAAACATTTTAAAATACGCAAAATATAGAAAGATATTTTATGAAATAAAAAAAGAAGCATAGGCACACATTTTTAAATTATTATCTTGTTGCAAATCATTAAACAAAGCTAAGAAACTAATGTTATAGACAAAATAATACGTTTTGAAGTTGCCCTGTAAACTTTAAGATTCAGAGCTTCATGGTTGTAAAGAGACTGAGCCGAATGGGCCCTAACAACCTTTCGTGTGATATCTTTTATTTTATGTTGATGGGCCTCACTTAATGGGCYTGTTRTTTGTYCTTATTTTAYTTYYTTTATGTAACTGCCAAGCTGGCCGCCCACTTAAGGGTATACTTGTCATCATCAATTTTTTAGAGATTAATAAAATAGGGTTAGAGAAGGGTGATTAATTCGACTTCTTCT